CTCGGTCCGCAGCGGTTGGGGCACAGGGGGTATGTATTTGATGCTGCCCTGCACTGTCTATACTCAGTCTTGAGTTGCCGCTGAACTGCACTGCTGTCTCTACCGCGTCAGCATTCCAGAGCACCACACCAGTAACTGGATCTGCAGAATCGTCAACTGATTTGGAGACGTGTTCTTGCCAGACGTCCGAGTTTATCTGGTCAAAACAGATGATGACAACTTCATCCTTAGAGGGAGCTGGTTAGGAAAACCAGAACTCTGAAGGGAGATGTGTGGAGGAACCCTAACCGACCCTGAAAGGAGAGCGCGACAGCACTAACACTGTTCATTACCGCGTCAGCAGCGTGCAGCGGTCCAAGCCCTTGTGTCTTTAGGGTGCTGACCACTACGTAAAGCAGTGCAAAGCACGACAAAGAGTCTTCTCATCAAGTGCCGCTGCACTGCAATGCTGCTGCCACCGCGTTTCCCAGCACGATGCCACTGACACTGCTTTTTACCACGTCAGCAGCACTGCACAACAGGACAAGGAGTGTTTTCCGTCTGTGAATCTGAGGTCGCGACCGACCCGTCAAAAGTCATTGAATAACGTGCTGTTGAGACACGTACAACGTTTCAAGAACCAAATCTCCGCGTAGGCACACAGGTAACTATCGAGCTAAACCGCTTCGTTTTTGAGTGCATTTGATTGCAATCGGTCTGGGTAATCAGGTTTCGGTCCGAGACAATGCATCCCTTGCAAGCATGTTACTGTCGATTGACGAGTCTCGGAATTTCGTGCGCGTAGCATGGTGGACCCCGCTGTTGTGTGAACCATTCAGAACGAAACATGTCAAGACAACTTTGTGCTGCTGTAGTGCGTTGTGCTCTCCGGCTGCTTGTTCCATGGGGTAATGGTGGCCTTCGCCAACGTATTTGGAAAGCCGGGGGCTAAATGTATCATGCCTGCACGCATGCATGCATGTCCAATGTGTTGACCAGGTGCCTCTTTGGACTTGGGCTTGTGCTCAGCTTGCTGCCGGTCTTCGTGCAGCAAAAAGGGACAAAACGTTTGCGGCACATGAACGGGCAGTAAGGTGCTGACTGTGAACCGAGGCCTGGGGGGTTACCCTGGTGGCGAGGGTCGTGAAAGCAGGACTTTCTGAACCGAGGCTGTGGCCGATTCATGATGGGGTAATGACATGCTGCTGCTTCTTTCCTGCACGGAAGGCGGGCGAGTTTTCAGTTGAAGGTGAGTGGGTGGCTCATCGTTGGCAGCCCATTTGCGAGCTTTGATTTGCAGTGCGATTCTGGCCTATGCATGTTACAGCTAACATGCACCGCCTTTTGAGGCGTACTTGGTATTGGCATGGCGATCGCGACTTGGTGTTGGACTAGTAACAAGATGATGTAATCTCGAGAGGTTTGCATGCGCACGCGAGGTTGTTTCGGATTTGCCCATGGATCCAGTTGCAAACGTTTTACTTGGACGAGCTCAGTCCTGAGCGCAGAACTGTGCAGCAAGCGGAGACATCTCTGAAGGGCGTAATTTGGTTTCCGGGACTACGGGGTCGGAACGCACAGCGGTCGGCCCTTTCAGGCACTTTCTCGGTGAATCGGGCAGACCGACCGTTTTGGTGCCGATTCCTCAGACAGTTGTGCAGGGTGCACAGGAATTCATCGAAGCAGTGTGGGAGGATGAACCATCTGTCCTTCTTGGATTCGGTGTCCGAGACTTATGCTTGTTCCAGCAGTAAAGGACAACTTGTCCAGGTTCGGGCCTGGTTTGGCATGCTTAGGCTTGCCGTGCCCATGGCACCTCTCCATCGATGTGCAGACGTGCGAGTGCTTGTGGCGAACTATGTGGGCCGCTTAAATCTCGTGTGTCGGCGCAGGGAGCATTCAACGAAGTCCTCCGCGGCCAGCTTGTTATCAGAACTGACCCTGTAGATTGATTCAAGTCGTGCGAAAGGTGTTTGCCATTCCATTGCTTGGCGGTGTGATGCGAGACGGGGCCTCATCTGCTATGGGTCATGAGTCATGGACCATGCCTAGGGCCGTAGGAGTCGCATATCGAGGAAGCATGAAAGCCAACATAAACCTGCTGATGGTACCCTTAGCACACGGCACAGCAACAGGCAACACCGCACCCAGTGCTGCATGCAAGCTTGATCAATGCATCAGGCGATCGGACTTGCGGAGGTCCCCTTCAAAGCAAGCGCAGGCAAGGAAATGGCTGATGCGTTGAACACAGATTGATCTGCGTAGGTATATGGAGACACAGTTTTAAATTAAGTTTTAAATGCTGTTGCAAAACAATCATCAAAAACGTGTATGACCATATGCAGAACTTCGCAGGCTACTGTCTATTGAAGTAGCATGAGACATATGACAACCGTGTCAACATACGTGCACCCTGACATAGAGTCGAACGCAAGCACAAGCGCACATGTAACCATACAGACCATACATGTGCGTTGCAACATCATGCAAAGCAAAAGAATGACTGAGTCAGCATGGAGTAGATGAATGAACGAGTGAGGGCGTGAGTGAGTGAAGTGAGGTAGTTAATGGACGAGTAATGACTGCATGATGGAAAGGTCAAACGTGATAACCTAGGCAAATTGGAAAATCAGGGAATGAAGGATGTAACGGAATGGCATGGCATGAAATGGAATGAGATTCATTGTGCTGCATGACTGAATGGGTGAATGAGAAAATGCATCAATCATTGAATCAACGATGATGAAGGACAGAAAGCCAGTTAGAATACATTGACGAAAAAACATAAACTGGCTACTCAACGAAGCGAGTGACATGAGATGAGATGCGATGAGATGACGAGATGAATCAGATAAGTGAAATCACTGAGATGATTGAGATGGAGAAGGAAGGAAGAAAGGAAGGAAGGAATAAATTAATGAACCAGCGGATGAGGTGGCTTGAACTGAACCACTAGAGCAACAAGGGCAACTTGCTCAGAGTCAGATGTTCGTGACATTTCCAGACTTGTCATGTCGAAACGAAACCAAATTATGGGGCCATCTCGAGTTGTCCAGGGCTGTGGACCGAAAAAGCCTTACCAACAAAGACTGTGCTTTGTATGAGCATTCGTGCGACTGTATTGCCATGATAGTTCGCCATGAAGGTGATTTTTCCAGCTTGGCAGTCGAAAAGGATGCCATGGAAGAGAAGCGCCTCTGAGGAAAACGTTCGACAGCTTGCATCGCATATCGATGCTGTGGCGTGGTGAGGCTGAAAGCTTTTGCTGAGCATGTGCAGGGCGGTGGTGCCTCGGCCTCGGGTGTCTGCAGCATTCCATCTTGTGCGGTGCTGCATGCCCGGTCGCATATAGCAGGGAGAGAGAGCGCTGCAATGTAAGTTGCAGCAGCATCACCATCGTTTGCGAAAGCATCGCATGTGAGCACGATGTGACAAGTTGCGCTTTCGCCATCCATGACGTTTTGGTACTTTTTGCAGGGGCGTGGCAGTTGGAGATGTCCGAGCAGCAAAGAACACTTCCCAGTGATGTCCTGTCGCAGTCTCATAGTCGGGTCATGTTTTGCTTCTGCTCGACGCAGGGATGGTTCAAGGACGTTCTGCGAGCTCGTGCAAGACGTGTCGCCAAACGCGACTTTGCGCAGTTCCAGCATCATGCCCCGAGAGACTCATCGGCGACCGTCGACAGTCAAAAGCAACGCCAGGACCAGCATTCCCACTGCATGGATGTCTTAAATTCAAATGAGAAGTCAGAAGCGCTGGAGTGGCTCCAGTGTCATGGAGGGGAGGGCAGTATGGTCGGGGAACACGAATTTGTACATAGTGTTCAATCGCTCCCGTACCACCGTCGGCACAAAATCAACATGAAGCAAGGTGTGCTGGCAGAAGCGCATCGAAATCCGAAGCCAGCCTGGCGAAAACACTTTCGGAAGAGTTTCGATCAAGCTTGTATGACTGCAACCCGACAGGAGGCGGTGTCAGGTTCAGACAGTTTCTCGAAGCTTCAGTGCCAAAGACAGAGTGTGATGTGTCCACGACTAGTCTTCATGAACTGTTCATGAACGCGTGTCTGTCTGCTGGGTATTTTTGTCACATTTGTTGACTGGTCAAGACTGGCTCCTGTGGAGTACAATTCATCTTAAGGTCCGGCGTGAAAAGGCCTCGATACTCGATTGGAAGTGCCAGGGCTTTGTGACCAATAGTTAAGTGGATTCCTCTGCTTTCACGTAGGGTTTTCAACTTTCGAGCGCCTTCGAGGCCTAAGCTCGAACTTTTCCTCTTCTTGCTGTCGGACAGATCTTTAAAATCTCGAGCTATTCACTTCCAATCATGTCCATGTGTCAAGATTTGTATGTGTCTCATGGAAGGTAGATGTCACATGAGCGCAATGGCTTTACAGGCAGAAAAATCAAGAAGGACGGTCATGAGAAACGTAAGCGAGCATTGCGTCGGTTAACGATGTTCACCATGCATCACCAGTGAACAAGCCTGTGTTGCATCGTGCATATCAACCGGTGGCATGTGACACCCACGCTGGTCGGCCAGGGTTGCGACATGCAAACAACTCTTGATCCCAGGTTGGTGCATGGTTTCCAGAAGGTATGCGAAATCGTGGTGATCCACTCGTCCTCCAGGCCGTCGCAATTCGCGTTGAGCATTTGCGTGCAAGTAAGTAGGCACGTAAGTGTGTAAGCCATTAAGCATGTATGTTGCATGAGTGTTGCATGTATGTTGCATGTATGTGTGTACGAGTGTAATTTGTGTAGTTACGTACGGTGCGCACCTACTTCCCGACCGACATACCTACTTTCCCGCCTACCTCCCTGCCCACACTACTACCGACGCTGCCTGATGCTGCACCCACCTACCCCCAACCTGCTTCGACCCACCTACCGCCTGCCTGCCTGCCTACCCACCTACCTGCC